AGATTTTCCCTCTGCGTCCAGTCAAACCAGGTTTCACACACATCCTGGAATCATCTTAAAGTTAACATGCATCTGCACTTGACAGAATGCAAGAATGTCATTGAACACCAAACTGATAGTGGCTAAGGAAAGCAGCAGATAGAACAATTAACTCTGGGAATAACTGGACTTAAAATGGTTATGTTTGAAGATCATATGGAACTTTATTAACCATACTGATGCCATTGACAAGAAAATATGATTATTTCTGTTGCATGCAACAGTTTTTCTGTGTGTGTGTGTGTGTGTGTGTTACCATCTAGGGGTATCAGGTTTGTTGTCTCCACTCAGTAAAGAATTGAAGAATAGGACACAAAGATAACAACCAAGTAACAGATTTATTGAAAGAGCAAAAGTTATCAGTAACAGACTTCTCCAAAGAGAAGGGGCTCCTGAGCCAGAAGTCCAGTGGGGAAGTTTTGGATTGTTCTCTTTTTAGTCCCTGGAATTTCCTCCTTTTCTTATCTCCTCCCTTCTCCACACTCTTCACACTGTTGTTCATTGGTGTCCCCAATATCCATGCATCTATTTTAGTTTTTCTATTGGATCCCCTGCTTAGGGGCACTAGTGTGGAAGTGTTCATCTAATTGGGTCCCCTGCTTGTGTCCACAAGCATTTCCATCAACCGGGAAGTTGACCTCATTGGAAGGCCCTCTCCATACTTCTTTGGTCTGGATCTGCCCCTGACTTTCTTCCTCACCACCTTTCCCTGGCTAGCTATGCCCTTCTACATCTCCCTCGTGTGTGTGTGTGTGTGTGTGTGTGTGTTTGTTTAATAAGAATGGGTCCTTGTTAAGTTGCCCGTGCTGTCCCAAACTCCTGGGCTCCAGTGATTTCCTGCCTCAGCCTTTGGAGTGGCTGGGACTCCGAGCACATGCCTCTGTGCCAGGCTCTTACATGCAACATTTACAATAATAATTAGAACTATGACTGATGGGGCTGGGATTGTGGCTCAGCAGTACGAGTACTCGCCTAGCACATGTGAGGCCCTGGGTTCGATCCTCAGCACCACATATAAATAAATAAAATTAAAGTATTGTGTCCACTTACAATAAAAAAAAAATTAAAAAGAACTATGATGATATAATACAAGCATTATTAGATTTCTAGGTATTTCATATAGTTTCTGAAACATATCAATAAAATATTCATACAAACATAACTCAGTGAAATTTTAGCATTACTTATTATTTGACACTGCTTCTTATATAATCCAATATATTGAATAAGCCCAATTAGTTCAATATCTCTTTTTATAAAGAGAGAGATCCTTTAGAGATATGCAAGGGCACATCTGGAAAATTAACTTCAGGACAAGAAAAAGACTTAATTCAAAATTTGATTTTGTGAAGTTCTTCAAAAATATCAAAGGAAGGCTGGGTTGTGGCTCAGCGGTAGAGCACTCGCCTAGCATGTGTGAGGCCCTGGGTTCGATCCTCAGCACCACATAAAAATAAATAAAATAAAGGTATTGTGTCCAACTAAAACTGAAAAATAAATATAAAAAAAATTTTAAAAATCAAAGGTTTAAAACATTTGGTCAAAATAAGATCAGAGATCATCACATTTTATTTATTTATTTATTTTTTTAAAAAACAATTTCTTTTAATATCCATTTTTTTTTAGTTGTGGCACGCTACCGCTGAGCCACAACCCCAGCCCAGATCATCACATTTAATCAAAGTGATATTAACACTTCAAAGACAAATACAGAAAATTACAGTAATTGAAAAACCTTAGTTCTTTTAACAAAAAGAACTCTGTTTTTAAATGATCAGAAACCTAATAAAGAAGCACAAGAAAATAACACAAAGCACAAGATTATCTTGGTAAAACAGATTCTTTGCCGTTTAGGCCAATTACCTTAAATGTGAGAACAATCCTTCACAATTTTCAATTAAGAGTTGACCACACTAATTTGACGCAGGAAGATTGCAAGTTCTAGGCCAGCCTCAGCAACTTAGTGAGACCTCAGCAATTTAGTAAGACCGTGTCTCAAAATAAAATTTAAAAAGGCCTGGCTATGTAGCTCGGAGGTAAAAAGTACCCCTGGGTTCACTCCCCAGCACATAAATAAATAAGTAAATAAATAAATAAATAGCTGATCAATACTCAAAAAAAAAAAGGTTTTTTTTTTGGTGGGGGGGGTGTTTTCATTTTTGATATTAAAGATTGAACCCAGGGTCACTTTAACACTAAACTACAGTCTCAGACCCACTTTTTGGAAAAAAAAATAAATTTGACACAGCTAAGTGGCTGTGTCTGGCCTTGTAGCCTTGAATTTGTAATCCTTCTGCCTCTGCCTTCTAAGTCCCAGGCATGTTTCACTGCATGTGGCTAAAACCTTGTTGTTTTGATAGTAAGGACCAGATTCTAGTTTTTGCATTGTAACTTAGATAGTAATAATCAATTTTTAGAAAAACTTCTAAATAATTCCTTTTTTCTAATGTTAGCTTGGTCACACATAGAATTCCTTTCACACAATTCATCTTCCATAAGCCTTCTACAATGTTCTTAGTCACTCATTCTATTAAGTTCAGTTTCGCATGTCAATTGGAATTTACATTCCTGCATATCTACCGAACACTGAGAAGCAATCTGTTTTAGTCAGATTTTTCTGCTGCTGTGACATAAAGACCTGACCAGAACAATTGTAGAGGAAGAAAAGTTTAGTTGTGGGCTCACATTTTCAGAGGTCTCAGTCCATGGACAGCAGGCTCCTTTCCTTGGGGCTTGAGGTGAGGCTGAACATCACTGATTGGCAGAAGGAAGCAGCTCACATGACGATCAAGAAGCAGAGAGGGAAACTCCACTCTGCAAATACTACACATACACCCATAGCCATGCTCCCAACGAACCCCTGCTTCCAGTCACTACTCAGTTAATTCCAGAAGGGTTTAATGCGCTGATTAGGTTAAAGCTATAACCCAATCATTTCTCCTCCAAACCTTCTTGCATTGTCTCACATGTGAGCTTTTGGAGGACACCGCAAATCCAAACCATAGCACATACCATTGTGAACTCCACTCCAGCAATTGTACAATGGCAAGTCTATAAACTGTAACTTCCAGAATCAAGTGCTGTCTCATAGTGTAATTTGTCCTGGTGGCACAGAACCTGTTAATAACAGTTCCAATATCTTTAGTCTTTGTATCAAAGAAACTGTAGAGGGCGCAAAAATTTAACACAATTCCCTTAGCTTTATTTGTTTTAAATCGCCCTGAGAATGAAATTCTTGTTTGTATGGATTTCTCTCACCCTAACTTTCCATTATTGTTTATTTGTTGGAGGAGCTTCCTGGAAGGAAGGGTGCTGGGGAGGGAAGGGGCATCTCTCCCATGATACGGAAATGCACTAGAACTGAGTTACATCCCCAGCCCCCAACTGTTCATTCTTGATTTGAAGGAAAAAAAAAAAGCAAATCATTATGATATAGGAAGAACATCTTTTACATGAGAATATTTCGTACATCTGTTTAACTCATTTATTATGAACAATTATGTTTGAATTGCTTGTAAAGATGGGACATCAAACAGCTAACCATCATGTTATATTTGGCAGACAAATTTTGTACTATAGAGATCACTTAACTCATTTTACTTGTAAACCTAAGTAGGAAAAGTTGTGTATCTGTATCATATGGAATACTGAAAACCCTAAAGACACGCCTGTTTTCATTAAACCAACCATATTCTTAGGAATCAAAGATTACTCAAGTCACATAAAATTGAAAAGAATACGGGTTAGTTCTTATTTTTCAAAGGAATACTTCATTTGTATTAGAGTTTATTTTTCTTAAAGCCAATTAAGTGGAGCTCTTTTATGATTTAATTTGCAATTAAAGTATTATAATAGAAAATCTCACACATATATCATATGTAAAGATCTACATCAACATCTAAACAAAACCAGACTTTAACATTTTTCATTTCAACGTTTGCCCACCCACCTGGTATGTATGTATGTATGTCCCTTTCTAAGGAAGCTACACAGACTGTGCTCCTGGTAGCTTTGGAATTTCTTTGAACAAAAATGTGGATTTAGAAAATTTTATATAGTTTAATCTCCTGAATATCATATATGTGTAGTTCAGAGGGTGGACCCCCATTGTACCAGCAAAACTGCTGTTTTAGTAACATCAAGTGTGAAAATAATGTTGATAATTTAAATTTCTGACATCTGAATTCTCATGTTAGTTCATGTAGTTATATTTGAAAACATGCAAGTCGATTTCAATAAAAGTTTTAATGTTATTGTTTAATTAACTTTTAATACAGAGGTCTTCTATTTTTTTATTAGAAAGTGCAAGAAAAAAAAAGAAAAGAAAAGAAAAAAGAAAAGCCAGAAGAGCTCAATCATTTTTAAAAATTGAGAATTGCCAATCAAGAAAAACCATGGGAATCTATAGCTCTAATCCTAACAGTATTGTCATTTTATATTTTTATTGATTTTGGTTCTGAAAATAATCTCTTCCATGACACTGTAATCCCTTGTTATGGTTTGGATGTGAAGTGTCCCCCAGAGGCCACGTGCTAAAGGCTTGGTTGCCAACCTGTGATGCTACAGGGAGGGGATGCAAGCTTAGGAGGCGGGGCCTAGTTGGAGCCTCTGAATCGTCAGCAGAGCCTTCCTTTCTCTTGGCTTCCGGGCCATCATGAGGTGAGCAGCTCGGCTCCACCATGCGCTTTCTGCATAATGTTCTGTCTGGCCACAGGCCTAAATGCATGAAACCAGTGACTCTGGGTGGAAACCTCTGAAACTGTAAGCCAAAATGAATCTTTTCTTCCTTTGATTTCTGTCAGGTATTTTGTCACAGCGATGAAAAGCTGAGTAACATCCCCCATCCCACTTTTTTTTTTTAAGCTGGAAAAAGCCACCACTTAGATGGACATAATTTTAATGATTGTAAGTGGAAAAAAAAAAAAAAAAGAAAAAAGCTTTTTTGTCTTTTTAAATTTTAGGGACTGGGTGTCGCTATACTGGGACCCACCTTTCAAGATTTGGCGCGGAATGTAAACAGAAATATCAGCAGTCTTTCACTAATTTTTGTGGGCCGTGCCTCTGGATTTCTGTGTGGCTCTATGATTGGTGGAGTTCTTTTTGACTGTATGAATGATTTTTTACTCATGGGTAAGTAAACGCTGATTTCTGCTTGTTTGTTACTATCATTGCATTTACCACATGGCTCTACATTATGAAAACAGTAGCCTGCAGAGTGAAATGGGTGGGATTTTGGTATCCTCTGTGGACTGTGTTTCCATGGTTCTGTTTTCACCTTGGCAGTTCAGGGCAGTCTGTGCTGGGCCCTGTGGAAACTCAGATCAGCCCTCAGGTGTGTGTGTTAGCAATCCTTAGCCTTCTAGATCTTCACTGTGACTTAGGTACCACTTCACTGTAATTTAGGATCTTTCACTGGTTGTCCAAAAGGCTCTGCTCATCAGGGTGTAGGGCAGATCTCCTAGGGCCACAGACATTAGAAAGAGCTCCTGGAACCTGCCCAGGCTCTATGGACTCCAGATTGAAAATGAGAGAAAAGGGATGGTAAAATGAATTGAGGTAGGCTACATTTTTGTCCCTTCTGCCTCATGTCAGTGATGGCCCCAGAATGTAAATAGATGCCAAAGCTTTTATCATACTCCTTTTTGGATGAATTGACACATTTTTAAAAAATCCAGATTAATGTGATAAAATTCCTCTGGAAGCAAGGAGAATCATTTATTGCTGATAAATACACAAAGAAGCTCTTTTAATTCCAAAGCAGGTTGAAAAAATATATTTCTGCCCATATTTCTCAAAATTATTAGTACATTCCTACTATATTGATTGCATTTTGACTTATTAAACTGTTAACTTCTACTTAAAAATTCTTTAGTTTTTTTTATATGTGAAATATTTAAGTAAATAATTTTTGGCCTTTCTCTTTTGCTATAAAACTTTTTAGTATAATTTATAGTCTCGTTACAACTAGTGCTGAATTATATTCATGTCATAGAAATTTACATTGTAGTCTACAAGCCAGATAAGGTTTAAATGAAATAATGTCTTGTAAGAGCTTCTGCAACCCATGATTCATGGGTTCCCATAGGTAAATTCCTGATTACACACTTTTTAAAAAAATATTTTTTAGCTGTAGATGGACACAATATCTTTATTTTTATGTGGTGCTGAGGATTGAACCCAGTGCCTCACACATGTGAGGCAAGCACTCTACCACTGAGCTACAACCCCAACCCACGATTATACACCTTTAATTTGATCTTATTTTGCGCTGGAAGTGATGACCATAATGCATATTCTTTTTTTTTCTTTCTTTCTTTTTATTTGGTTCCAGATATGGAACCCAGGTGCACTTTACCACTGAGCCACATCCCCAGCCCTTTTTATTTTTGTGGTTTGAGACAGGGACTTGCTAAGTTGCTGAGGCTGACTTTGAACTTGCGATCTTCCTGCTTCAGTCTCCTGAGTTGCAGGGATCATAGGCATGTGCCACAGCGCCTGGCTTCACACTGTTTCTAAATAGTTGCTTTTTACCTTTTCTTCTCAGGGATGTCAATGTTAGCTACTACAGTTGGTCTTTACATTATTCCTTTGTGCAAGAGAGCAGTATTACTGATAGTCATGATGTCTGTCCTTGGCACTTCAATAGGTATTCTGGATACAGGTAAGTGAATTCTTCAGTGTCACCTCTGGGAGAGCAGGTGGTATTAAACTATCACTTGCTAATAGAAGGGAGATCAGTAGAGTACAGCAAGTGAATCAGGGGGAGGGAGGAAGGGAAGGAAAGTGAAGGTACTGGGGAACGAGATTGATTAAATTATATTATGTGCATGAACATATATGGCATAAAGAATCCCACTAGTATGTATAATTATAATGAACCAATAAATTTAAAAAAAAACTGTCACTTGCAATGCTCTTGAAATGACATAGGCTTTCTGAGTGGGTCATTCAGAATCACTCTTCTATCAATTATTCTTGCTAGTCAGGGTATCAATTTTTGAGCCACCAAATGTAAAGTGAACATAAAGGATTTTGTTCTGTGGGAGATTGTTGATTTATATTATCTAAACAGGGAAGGACACCTTCCTGTGGCTAATTCCAGTACAGAGAAGCAAGCTTTCATTTTGTGATAGATTTTTGTTATTGTAGTATAAGGGATTGATGGTTCACTAGGATAAAACAAGTTTGGAACCCTTATTTGGTGGTGAAAGAAGAGAAGCAGCCATTCAATTTAAACTATACCCTTGTTTTGGAGTGTTTTTGAGTTGAGAGAAACCCGTATTGTATGCTACCTTGGTTTCCTTTCTTTTCCCTCTCAAAGTTTCCTGCCCCTCTGCAGTTGAGTTAATCCATGGGTCATCCAATGACACAGGTGATGTTTATTGAGGGCCAAATCCAGCTTTGAAGGTCCACTTTCCCATTCTAATGTTATCAGATACGGCAAGGAAATATTTTATGTGTCAGGCTTAGTTTGGATGTTAAACTACAGGGTAGAATTATACATTCATCAGAAAATATCTGATCTTTTAAAAAGGAAGCCAAACAATTGATGCTTCCAGTCTTTCACTTTGCAGGTGTCCAGACAGGGTGAATGCAGATGCTGAAAGGTGTTCTTGTTCCGGGTAACGGGCATACTAGAATCCTACAGTATTCGGGTTCCTCAAAGTGTATTTTGCATCTGGTTTATACATAGGTAAATGATGTTCTTGAAGTGACTACCAGTTCCAAGAAAAAGAAAGCTTTAGTAATTGGCTACTATCTGATGGTCATATTTGTCTAGTAAATACATATATATTTTAATTATTTAGAAATAAATAGGTGAATAAGCATTATTTCCCAATACAGTGTTAGCACTGTTTTATGAAAAGCTTTGGTTAATGTGCTTGGAGGTAGTGGTTTATCAGCTTATAGAATTCCAGCATGCATGAGATGTCATACACTTAGCTCTCTGGTGGTATTGGGTTAGAGTTCCTCAATCAGAGAACTGGGTCAGGTGTCATGTTCGATAACTCTGAATATTGCAATGTGCAAGCCACATGATACAGACTCAGCCTTCTTTTCTTAATTACCTTTTTCAGCGTTACTGTGTTTAACATAAATCATTTCCCCATCTTTCGTTGGCAGGTGGTAACATCCTCATTTTGGCTCTTTGGGGGGACAAAGGAGCCCCACACATGCAGTCATTACACTTTGGTTTCGCCTTGGGTGCTTTTCTGGCTCCACTTCTGGCTAAATTGGCACTGGGTACCTCAGTGTCTGCTGAAAACCACACAGAGCCTGCCTTTCAGCCTCCAGCCACCAATGGATCATCTGAAGCTGACTCAGCGCCTCTGTTTGGATTGCCTGATGACATGAATCTATTCTGGGCTTATGCTTTTATTGGTGCTTATATTTTCATAGTGTCTGTCTTCCTGTTTGCTCTGTTTTTTAAGAAAAGCTCAAGGCAGGAAAGAGCAAAAGTATCTGCTCAGGCATATCGAAGAGCTGAATATCACAAGACCCTTCTCTGCCTCCTTTTCGTGTTCTTCTTTTTTTATGTTGGAGCAGAGATAACATATGGCTCCTATATTTTCTCCTTTGCCACCACCTATGCTGGCATGGAAGAAAGTGAAGCCGCTGGGTTGAACTCCATCTTCTGGGGGACCTTTGCAGCCTGCAGGGGCCTGGCGATCTTCTTTGCTGCCTGTCTACAGCCGGGCACCATGATTGTGTTGAGCAACATTGGCAGCCTGGCTTCATCTTTATTTCTGGTGCTTTTCAACAAGAATCCACTTTGTCTCTGGATTGCCACTTCGGTGTATGGGGCCTCAATGGCAACCACGTTTCCCAGCGGTATTTCCTGGATTGAGCAGTACACTACCATAAGTGGGAAATCAGCAGCCTTTTTGGTAATTGGTGCAGCCCTGGGAGACATGGCTATTCCTGCTGTAATTGGTGTTGTTGAAGGACAATATCCAGACTTGCCTATTGTTCTGTATTCCTGTTTAGGATCAGCAATATTCACTGCTGTTATATTTCCTGTGCTGTATAAATTAGCCACCTTGCCTCTGGATCGCCAGCGAAAAGCTAACAGAATGAGTGAGGACAAGAAAGCTGTGCCCTCTATTTCTAGGCTATAAAAATAGAATAAAGAGGGGGATGCATAAAAATGGGATGAAATGGATTTTGAAGTGTTTTGGAATGAATGACACAATGAGTCATCCTTTAAAAGAGATGTGGAAATATTTTGTTACAACTCGTGGTCAGTCTCCAATCTCTTCCAATCTCTTCAGATGTGCTAACCTTTGCATCTTCTGCAATTAATACTGGTGATTCATCTATGAAGCACCTTGCCAGAAGTTAGGACAAAAAAGGGGCAAACACTTAGGGAAGATGGATTATTTATGTACTGCCCTGAATAATTACCACTTTTGAAAAAGCCAGCCACAGGAGAGCATTCACAGATTTTCAACATGCTCTGGGGACATTGAAATAGGATGTCTGTTCCATTTGTAGCAAATGCTAAAAAGTTACAAAGTGTTGCATACTTCCCAGAGTCTTCCATAAACTACCAAGTAGTATCTAGTCAGGAGACTAGTGTTTGGCATAAAGCTGATTAAGTAATATTTTATGGTCTATACCTTTCAGAACGTGCCAAGAAGCCATTTGTTTGAGAACTTGGGTAATGTCCTAAAAGAGCAAAATGAGGGAGGAATGGATTGGATTTGCTGTGTAAATATCCATGCATCCGTAACCCTGGAAAGTTCAGTAGTTTCATGAAAGAACATCTTTGGTGGAATAAATGCTTTTATTAATTGCTTTACCTTACCTGTAGGGTTAGACCAAAGAATGCTATGGACTCACTTGATTTTTGATTTCCATGAAGAGAACACAGCAGGGCCCAGGAGACCTGGCTCTACACTGAGAGACTTAACATGTCTATCATGTCCTGATCTGTGATTCGAGAAATGAAAATGAAATGGTTGCCTAAGAAAATCCATAAATTTCAAAGTTCCTACAACACATCTCCTAAATTAACCCATGTGTCAGTCCATCCTTTGTTTTTAATGAGAAATGAAACAAAAATTTTAAGTATATGCTACCAATAATGAGTAGGTTCCAATTTAATATACTTAATTTTAATATATTATTTGAATAAATTTTTTGAAGAATAACTTTTTGGTGCTGAATTTAATTGATCCTAAGACATTCATTTTTACCACACTTTTAAAATCTCTGACATCAGGATATACCTTCCAATCAGTGATCATTAATATTGTGGCAAAGTTAGTTCCATGTTCCCCCTATACATATATAAATATATAATAATGCTCTATTTTACAATCACTATCTCAGATTCAGTTAAATACAGTAATTCTTTCCATTATGGATATTAAAGAGTTTTGCAGAGTTTTCTTGTGTTTTTGTTTTTGCATTGCTGGGAATTAAAGTCCTGATCTTATGCATGCTAGATGAGCACTCCACCACTAAGCTATCCCTGCTCTGAATTAAAGTTACTATTATGTGTTAATTTTCTCTCCATTTATGTTAGGGGGGATGTGGCAACACTATTTTGATTTCAGAAGCTGTTTCGAAGTTGGCTGCAGTAGAGCTGCGCACAGGGTCTTTCAAGGCCTTTGCCTACCTCCGAAGCTGAGTCTGAGCTAGTTTCAGGATTGGATCTTCACTCATTTTTGAGTAGAAATCACATAATAAGCTCTGCAAACCAGCCATCAAATTTAATTTACAGTGAGGCACAGGGATTGGACTACTTATGTCCCCTGTGTAGGGCTCCCCCTCTCTGAGTTGGAAGTACCTGAGAAACAAGAGTAAAGAGGAGAAGGTGGCTTGGTGTCCAGGCAGCCAGATGAGAAAGGCATATCCCCATGAGCAGGACAAAATTGGTGTGTCTATCTTCTGATAAATGACTAGAATTGATGAGAGATTTTGGTTACTTCTTTCCAAGTTTTATGCTAAATCACATGTGATTTCCACCTGATTGCAGGATGTTTGTTTTCTTGTATCCAACTTCTATAAATTTGCTTTTAAAGAAAAAATTGGTTTCGTTGTCTTAATGAAACCACAACACCTTTCTTGACCGCTGCCCATTCACCTTCCATGCCCAACACAACGCTGGTTCACACTAAGAACCTAACAACTTTGGAGAAGGCTGATGGAAAAGTTAACACCAAAGAGCCAGGTGTTACCTTACCCTTAACCTGAGCTTGGCAACCACCTCTGGTCCATTCACAGCTTTCCTCAGGCTGTTGGGTCTTAGGAGCAGTTGTTTAGCTGCCAGGAAACTCATTACCACAGGGATTCTACTGCCCACCTCAACTTTTAGAACACAGAAAATGTAGCCAAGGGAAAGAAGCATGTTAATGAGAATGTGGCAAAAATTGGGAAATCGACACCAGAAAATTTACTGGATTAGACAATCCAAAATGTGAATGGCTATTGTGTTAGTCAGCTTTGTTTTACTATAACAAAAATCTGAGACAATCCACTCAAAGAGAAAAGATTTACTTTGGATCACAGTTTTGGAGTTTCCAGTTCACGACTGCTTTTGGGGGGGAGTAGTGCAGCACATCATGGCTGGAGCATGTGATGGAGTAAAACTGCTCACCCTGTGCCCAGGAAGCAAAAGAGAATGAGAAGGGGGCCAGCATCCCAAAGCTACTTTAAGGCACACAGTTTCTATGACCTAAAGACCTCCCACTAGACTCCATTTCTGAAAGGCTCCGCCACTTCTAATAGCTCTGCTCTGGAGACTGACTCTGTAACACATGGGCCTTTGGGGGACTTTTAAGATCCAAACTATAGTATTTATCCCTAACCCCAAAAGGCTCTTGTCCAACTCACTTTCACCATCTGTCCATTCACCCAATATGAACTTGCAAAAAGTTCCCAAAGAGGACTGTCCCAGTATTGTTCAATATTCCAAGTTCAGAATGTCCTCTGAGAATAAAGGCAAACTCTTAGGTGTGAGCCCTTGTATACATGAAAAAGGAAGTTACATACTTCTACGATACAAGGGTGGCACAGTCACAGAGTCAATCTTCCCTCCAAGAGGAATAGAAAGAGGGATTGGATTAAAACGAGACCTGAACCCAGCAGGGAAAACATTACATCCTACAGGTCCATGTCCAGCATACAGGGTACACTGGGGCAGGAAGTGTGCTCCCATGTCCTGGACAGCCCTACCCCTATGGCATTGCTGTTTTAGCCCACATGACCACTTTCTTGGCTGGCTCTATTTAAGGGAAGCCTGCAGCTTCCCTTGGCAGGCATTTCACAATTCTGGCATTGACTTTCCTGTGGTCTCCTTTTTAGTTTTGCCTTCATCCCCACAAATCCATGTATTGCCCTCCAAGGAGCTGCTTATAGGGACTGGCACCTGTCACATACTACCCTGCTTCCCAGGGTTTCCTTTGAAATATTGATAGAGGGCTCCATTACCCAATAACTCTCTTATTCTGCTTATCTGAAAAATTAGCACCATGTGCACAAGGCTGAGGTCTATCACCATAGACCCACCTGATGGGCCCACATAAACCACGACTGCAGTGGCCTCTGAGTGTCCTGCTAGCTGAATACAGGGAAACCAATCCATAGGTACGTTAGGCACCAGCGTTCTTTCCACAAAGGAAAGTTTTTCAAAGAAATTTACACTTCTGCACTTTTGAGCCTGTGAAGCTTGGGGTGGCCTTGCAGATCTCTGAGATGCGCTCAAGTCCTCCTTCTTATAGTTCCGGTCCAAAGCACTTGGCTTCTTATTACCAGTGCTAATGATTGCACTCTCTTTTCTGAAAGTTTATGCATGTTCCTTATCTGGGAAAACTGTGAATTTAATTTAACTTAATTTCACTTCACTTCAGATATCATTTTGTTTTATTTTCAGTTTTGTTTAGTACTATGAATTAAATCTAGTGGTGTCTACCACCGAGTTATATCCCCAGCCCTTTTTATTTTATTTTTTTGAGATAAAGTCTTGCAAAGTTGCTGAGAGTCTTGCTAAGTTGTTGAACTGACCTCGAACTTGCAATCCTCCTGCCTTGGCTCTCCAGTTGCTGGGATTACATGTTTGTACCACTGTGCCTGGCTCAAACTGTGAATTTTAAAAACCTTTCTGCTCTGTTCCTTTTTGAGCCAAATTGTCACTGTAAATTTAGGTATAAGCAGTCAGTAATACCTATATCACTACTTAAATGCTTTGCTGCTATCCAATATCCTCTACCAAGGAAACTAGCCCATCATCTTCAAACTCAACCTCTCACATAGTTTCGGGGCCCGGGCAAAATGCTTCCATTTTTTTCCAACAGTGTAACAAGGATGGCCTTTAGCACTCCTCCTCCTCCTCCTCCTCCTCCTCCTCCTCCTCCTTCTTTTTTGTATCAGGGATTGAACTCAGGGGCACCAACACTGAACCACATCCCAGCCCTGTTTTGTATTTTATTTAGAGACAGAGTCTCACTAAATTGCTTAGCGCCTCGCTGTTGCTGATGCTGGCTTTGAACTCTTGATCCTCCTGCCTCAGCCTCCTGAGCCACTAGGATTACAAGTGTGTGCCACTGAGCCTGGCTAGCACTATTCTTAATAGAGTCCACATTTCCATTGAATATCTCAGGAGCTTCACCTTTACTGTCCACATTCTTCTTAGCTTTCTGGTTTTCTGAGTCACCAGAGTCACCCATTAACCTCTGCTTATAGCACTCTGGCTTTCTGTATAAAAAAAATTTCAGACTCCTGTACATCCCCAGGCATACAGTAATGACAGAGACCCAACTTCTTGGCATACATTTCCTGTGCTAAACAGTTTCTATTACTGTATCCAGAAATAAGAAACTTACAAAGAGAAAAGGTTTCTTTTGGTTCACTGTTTTGAAGATTCCAGTCCATGATTAGTCGGCCACATTTTGTGTGAGCTTGTCACAGAGCAGGACATCATGGTGGGAGTATATGGCGGATTCAAACTACTCACCTCAAAGACAGGAAACAAAAGGGTGTGAAAAGGGGGCTGGTGTCCCACAGTCCACTCTTCAATGTGACACTCCTAATGAACTGGCATAACTGGGACTCTGTGCCCATTAAACAATTACTCCCCATTTTACCCACTCACCTGCCTTTGGCAACTACCCTCCTCCTTTCACTGTCTATGACTTGCCTACTCTGCGTGCCTCATACAAGTGGAATCATACAAGATTTGTTCTCTCATTACTAGCTCCTTTCACTTAGTATAATGTCTTCAAGGTTCATCAATGCTGTAGCATGTGTCACATTTCTTGTTCAGCCTGAATAATATTCCAATCTTTGTGTATTCCACATTGTATTTATCCATTAATCTGTGTGTGGACACTTGGGTGTTTCAACTGTTTGGCTGTTGTGAATTAATGTGGGTACAATTAATACAATTAATAACACAAATGGCCTCCAAGAACTATTTCTAATTCTTTTGGAGTTCTTTTTTTTTATATACCCATCCACTTAGATCATATGGTAATCTTATTTTTAATATTATTATGGTTTAGATAAGAGATGTCCCCCAGAAGCCCACGTGTGAGACAATGCAAGGAAGTTTAGATTGGGTTATGAGAGACTGAACCTAATCAGTGTATTAATCTACTGATAGGGCTTAACTGTAGGCAGGTAGGATGTGGCTGGAGGAGGTGGATCATTGTGGGTGTGTCTTTGGAGTATAAATTTTGTTTCGTGGAGAGTGAATTCTTTCTCTGCTTCTTGGTGCGAGGTCCTGAAACGCTTTCCTCCACCACATGCTTCTGCCATATTGTTCTGCTTCACCCCAGTACCCAGAGGAATGGAGCTGGCTGTCTATGGACTGAGATCTCTGAAATCGTGAGCCCTGAAATAAAATTTTCCCCCTCTAAAACTGTTCTTATAGGTCTTTTGGTTACAGCAGTGAAAAAGCGGAGTATGGCAAATATTACCGTGTATTTTTATTATTTGGTGGAGATTTTGTCTTATTAAGTTTATTCAAAAGAGACTAGCTATGGAAAAAGATAGAGAATATATACTTTTTTATTTGGTAGAGATTTTGTCCTAATCCATTATATGCCACAGAGACAAGTTATAGGAAGAAGATAGGGAATATATACTTTTAAGTAAGTATTACCCATTAATATCAGTTCAGCATCATCCAGGTAGGGAAGAAATGAATTTAAAAAGGGATTTTTGTCAAGCATCTCCCTCAACCTTTTATCATCTCTCCTTCTAATTTTTGTTCTGTGTTTTGGCAAGGGTTTGAGATTTTAGCAAGTTTTATGCACCATAGACTATTAATGAACCTCTTCTCCTGTCCTGGGAGTACCAAGTATCATTATCATATGTTTTGAGATTGTATCTGATTTTCTGATAACTGAATGGTCCTGTGTCTTGTGTTCCTTAGTTTATAAACA